GTAAAAGTAAAGTGAATCCGGTAAATAAGTTAATCCGGTGAAAAAACTTCATTTTATTATTAAAAAAGCACACGTACCAGAATGTAATTGGTACGTATATTATAGTAGACGTATACTATAGTAGATTCTAATAATCGTTCGAAAAATTAGACAGAAAATAACAAAAGTAAAATCAAAATACGCCACAAAAAAGTGGAGAACAAAAAAAAAATAAAAAATAAAAAAAAATAGACTTTAACTTATAAACATATATATAAAATTGCGTCAATATATCAAACTCGGTACAGGTGGTTTTCCAAAGAATTTTGTGCACATACAGACACCTAAAAAAGTTACTTATATGTAGAGAAAAACTGTAACAACATAACTTGAAAGCCTATCTATATATTATGGAGACTCTTGGACACCCATCATTTACCACACATATGCATAAAAGTGATTTTAACAATGGTCCAATTAGAGCCATTTCGTGTAGATTATTCACTTGGCATTCAAGTTAAATATCAGATACGCTTCTAAGATATCGCTGTTGTACTGCAACTCACGCACACATATGATTAACTCGTTTATTCTATGGGGAAGTCAAGTTTAGAGCGAATACTGGATACCATATCTTTGAAAGCTTGTCGATGATGGTTATAACTGTATAAATGCATCAAAAGGACAATTATTTTCAGTCTCCAATAGAGAAATTTTAGATAAATACTTAAATTACTTAAATATTTCCAATTATTTAATATTATGTATATTGCCAAAGTCTCAGTCAATCAAAGGCTTGTTTATCAACTGAGATCACGACCAATTTCAGATTTGCTCTGTGACGAGCATCAATTATTGCTCAAACTGCAACGATTGCACTAGAGTAACAACTAAATCTAAAGACTTCTTGCCAGATGTGTCAGATGAAAAGACCAACGAAATATACTTTCATTTTTGATGCGTTTGTATATAGAAAAGGTTCATAGGTAAAAAAATAAAGAAAAAATAAAAAAAGGAAATCCGTATTCAAAAGCGAATAAGTGTAAGCGTTGCGTGCTAATGCAACTTCTACACAAATCATTTTTAAACGTTATTGTAATTTCCGCCATGTCTACCTACAAGCGAACCTATGAACGGTGTAAAAAACTTTTTGAAGAGTTTGCATAGGACACGTGGGTGTTAAGGCATAAAATTTTCTACGATAGTTGCTTACAAGTTATCTATGATCATAGAATGAAGAAGACCCCGGCCAAGGTACATATACTGCGGAATTATTTTTCTATTATCGTTAGAGAGATGAGTGTTGTTTTGATTGTTAGAAATTTGACACTTGGTAATTGCTTTTTTACTACGCTATTAAGGTACGTAGTGAACTTTACTTTTGAACTTTGCATTACTTGTGAATATTATTTATTAAATGAAAATTAGATTTGTTTCCATAGTGCACAGATATGTTATGTCCTTTCGTTGACGATATGCAAAATTTTGTTTTTATTCCTCTCGGCAAGGAGAAGTTTACTTTGAACGAAATGAGCGAAATTAACGACCAGACTAGAACTTTGCAAAAATGTATGTGAAATAAATATTATTATTATCAGTTCTTCTTCTTCGTGATTTTTACAAAATAGTTATATCATTGTTCACTTATTTAATTAAAATAATAGCATAATTATTTTATTGTTATTAATATACGTAACAATGGTTTCTCCTCCGCTCATTTATTATTATTATTATTATTATTTTTTTTTTTTTCTTGTTCAAAATCACTTATGCTTTGCTTTGTTTGTTTCAAGCTTTTATAATTTTTTTTGTTGTTTTTGTATTACTTTTATATATATGCATTTATAAGAAGAAATTAGGTCATAGGACCGGTTTCATCTCACGTAAATATATTATTTTCCATATTTTCATAGCGACTTTGTGAAAACGTTAAACAATTTAAATAATATTAATCTCCCTAGCATAACGATGTTAGTTAATTTTAAATGCATATGTATGTAAATTAAATAAATTAAATGAAATTATGAACTTTGACTTCTTCAAGGTTTAATCATTTTTCTACTACATACATACTGCATTGGAGTCATTAGAGTGAGAATTATCAGCTAAACATTTCCATACACGATCGTCTAGCATGCGGGACTGATTCGATGCAGACGTCAATCTTTATGTAAATACGCCTAAATATTATTTTTTACTTGTAGACAAGTAAACAAAACAAAAATATTTTACAAGAACGTTATTGCATTTTGCATATGAAGCACATTTCTTGTATATAAGTAACGGATGTTTTTAGACAAGAAAAAAAAAAGAAGAAAAACAATATAAGGCAGAAGAAGAATCAGCTTAAGCCGATTTGAATTTTATTAGAAAATACAAAATATATTTTAATTACCTAATTAAACCGGTTCAACGTGTGTTTACATGACAATGAAAATGATTATTATAGCAAGTAAAAACGTTACAATGATACAGTGCCAACTATTAAATGCCTTACACCATTTCTTTTAATTCAGTTATTCATATAACGACTTTTCAAAATAAAGTCTTACACGAGAAGTGGTTCGATCCTTGAGCCAAAACATGTCTGTGAACAAAATTTCATCAAAATATCTCAAAAATTACGAGTTGTACGTCGAACGCAAGAATACAAGGCAGAGAGATGAAAAGACGCCTAGACAAGCTTAGATCGATTCAGAAAGTGATACTGAGTCGATCGATATAATATAAGTTCGGTTAGCATCAAGTCCCTATGGGTGTTGCATATATCCGCACAAACTTAATATACTCTTGTACCACAAGCGATGGAAGGTATAAAAATATATTATCGACAACAAAGATTTTGGAATTAGTTATGATCAAAACGTTAACGTGCTTAGGAGTTTAAATAAAAAAAAAAAAAAAAAAATTCATATTCAAGTATGGGAATTAAACAAAAATTTAAAAAACATAGAACATAAAATAGATATTAAAAGTGAATTAATTTAAAAATAAAATGTAAAAGAAAAAAATAAATAAATTCCAATCAAAATTTTAGGATTGACTTATGAAAAAAGAACGCGCTTCGCAAGTCGCCGCCAAATTTTTTGTTAGGCTTCCACAACTGTCTGATAGAAGGTTGATATCGTCCAGTTTCCTAATAATTGTTGAAAATTTGGTTTTCAACGAATATTCAAAACGAATAAATGTATTGAAGAAAAGGTTTTATATTAAACTCCATTTACAAGATGAAATTGCTTATGCAAAAACAATGAAAATATTATTATTATTATTATTATTATTTTAATTTTAGACTAATGAATTGAATTCTTAGACTAAAAAAAGAGACATTGAGCACTAGCAACACAGCCGATAGCCTGTGTTGCTAGTTTGTAATGAAACAAAGGGACAATCAAAGGGTTTCGTGTGGTACGTAGCGGTGGAAAAAAACGATGTTGAAGGAGATCATAAATTGAATACATTTTCACAGTTTTCTTTGGATCTTCGTTGATATTCGTCACAAAGCATACCTCCCAGAAAAACGAACAGTTAATCAAAAAATACTACCCAGGTCTTCAATGTCGTTTGCGTGGATCTATTTGCAAAAAAAGATTCAAATTTACGGCGACACAATTCCTGGTTCTTGGCTCACGGCAATCTTCGTATTCTGTTTTGACGATTCTTCAAGATTTTAATGAAAATCAAGCTAAGCACGATTTCTAGTCGCAATATTTTCATTTCCATTCTTTTCCCGCTTACGAAAGGTGCTGTTGGGTTAGCGTTTTAAGTCAATAAAAGCTATTAAGAAGAGGTCACTGCTGACTGCTTGAAAGTTTCTATTGGTAAAATCGCTCTAGTGTGAGAACTAAAAAATCGAATAACATGAAATTTTTTCAGATATTAATGACAATTGTAAACCTTTAAGGACTAAGGCCACGGAAAACTTTTCCAAAAATCAATTTGTTTTATTGGATTAAACGATCTCTTATATAATCAAGAACGATTTAAATTGCGGGAGTAGCTAGATTTTAAATAGCAGAAGCAATTAATTTTTGAAAACATCCGTATGGCGTATGGCAAGGTCACATGAAATTTTGAATGGGTTCGTCTATTCAAAACGTCATTCAGCATGATTCAAGCAATTTTCATGTTTTCAACACGAATGTTGCTCGGTATCCTTTAAGTAACTTTCCCTAGAGAATGGCTTCGTGCTATTTTGATAAATTAGTTAGCCAAGCATTTTTTATTAGTATTATGAAAGAACATCATTTTTTCCGGTCAAAAATTTAACCGTTTCATTTAAGCATTTGCGGATCATACAGAAACTAACATTTCTACGTCGTTTTGTTGATTGACTTTTTTTTTTTTTTGATTTTATATGCTACACCACCCGTGGCGCAAAGGCGTGTTAAGCTCATGCGAATGTACGCAACCCCAGTTTTTTAACTGATCGATTTAGAACCAGATTCCAAATCCATTTAAGCTTGTCCGTCCGTATGTTTGTCCGCCCGTCTTGTTTGCTTGTCTTCAACCTCCTGGCCACAATTTTTGAGATATTTTAACGACACCATCTACACGGATGTGTTTTGCGCATCGAACATTTTATTTTGCAGAGTTGCTATATGATTAACTGTAGAGCGGGGTAAGGTATTTAATCATGGGCCACGTACTACTGCAATGGTTTTACCTGTTTTTAATTCAAGTTTGCTGCAGAGACCCTTGCGCTGAGTATGCTTCATGAGAAAGGCTGCAGTGTTGCTATTTCTTAATGTTTTCCAAAATTATTTTTTTATTAACTTGTCGCTTTCCCCAGCTATTTATTAACATTCATTCCATTCAGAAAAAGTGGAAGCCTTAAATGCGTTTTAAAATAAAAATTCCCCCTTTTTTTTGAACAATCTTATATTTTTATCGAGGCCTATTTATGCTTTTTAAAAAAGTTGCACAACCTTTTATTAAGAGAAAAAAGCAAAATTTAGCAAATATTACGAAAGATAAAAAATAAACAAATTAATTAAATAAAATGAACCAAAGATAATAAATTTTCATTATTATTTATTGATTAAAACACAAAATAGAAACGCGGTAGACATGACCTTTTTGTGGGTGCTGCTATTTACAGCCTTCTCCGGCTTGGTGGCCTATGTAAAAGTGAATTACATCTATTGGTACTTACTGGGCATAAGTCAATTTAAGACAAATTTCTTATGGGGTAATTTATGGCACTTGAAATCTTATCATCATACGGAAATTATACAAAAATTATACGATACCTATAAGACAACACAAGTGATTGCCGGCACCTATATTTTCGCGAAACCTGTAGCTGTTGTATTAAATTTGAACGTAATGCAACGCATGTTATTTGAAGACCGTGAAAAATTTCAACATCAAACTAAATGGACCGATATACCGGATCAGTTGTCGAAAATGTTAACTGCTCGCCTACTACAGGAAGCCAAGGGAAGTTCCCATTTAGCAGGAGCAATAGAAGTGAAGCTGAGAGCATCTCGCAATTTTTGCGTAAATGTAAAGGAAATCGTAAACCACTTTACCTTAGATTTACTTGGCCTGGCATTGCTAAGCGTTGATTACAAAAGTTTAACGCAATCTGATAGTGATTTCTATCAGAAATTTATGGAACATATTCAGAAGAAACCGTTCAGTGTTAAATGGCAAATATTTCGAAATGTTTATAGACGACCTTTCACCAATGACTTTAACGATATCATAAATCTCTTAATACCCCGGCTCATTACTATCATTGAACGAAGACAAAATCTAAGTCTGAAGCCTGAAGATTTTTTGAGTATTTTGTTAAATGAAAGGAACGAAGGATTTTCTAGCCAGCCGACGAAAGATATAGCCAAACAAGTAATTCACTTATTGACTTCAAGTTTTCAAGCAAGCGTTTCGATCATTAATTGCGCCTTATACGAGTTGGCTAAAAATAAACAAAAGCAAATTTTGTTAAGTCAAGAGATTAGAAAAGTTATGAGATGTAATAACTATCAATTAAGTCCAGATGTTTTAAAGGAATTAATTTATTTGAAACTAGTCATTAAGGGTAAGATACGAGTGCAATAACAAAATAATCTTTTGATAATTTTTAATCAATCATTCGAATAGAAACTCAACGCTTGTATCCACCTTTAACTTTTCTCCAACTTGAAGCTTTAGCAGATTACGCAATACCTAAAACTATAATAACTCTAGATAAAGGCAACATAATATATATACCTGTCCAGGCCGTATTACATGATCCGGAAATTTACGCTCATTCCGAACAATTTCAACCGGAACGTTTTTTTTCTTGGTTTCAACAGGGAAAGCATTCCCTATCGTTCCTTTGCGATGAAAATGATCCGCATAACGGCATTGTCTCTTCGTCTGTGCAGGCAATAGTTAGCATTGCTCTAATCGATTTACTTACTAAATATGAATTTTCTCTTTGTGATAAATCTCCGAAAAAAATCGAATTTTCAAAATATAATTTTATTAAATTCCCAACTAACGATATTTATTTAAATGTAAAGGCATTGTAGATAATTAAGAAGAGAATTTTGAAACTATTTAATAAATTTTATGTGATTATTTGAAACTAACGCTTTGCATATTTTATTGAATTTGTTGTCATCTGGCGGTTAAAATGCAAATTTTACAAACTTAAGAGCTTTACGTTAAAGGCGGTAATTGCTTAAAGAGTACTCTGCTTAGAAGCTTACGGTATATGCTAAAAGTTTGGAACGCGTTGGAAGCCTCAAGAGAACTTTTGTAAGCTTTCGTATTTTTTTATCGAAAAAAGCTTTTCTAAGGATGATGCAAGAAAAATGCTTTTCAAGGACAACTAATTATAGCAAGAAGCTGAAGTAAACAGTCTACGATTTTCTGAATAAGTGAAAATTATTACGTCCGTCATCGGGAATGGAATTGTATTATTTATATATTAGATTTTTTTTATTCCCTTTATAACACTCAGTTGCCAGTGTTTTTGGATATTATTACGATTGTTGTGTGCTATAGTAAATAAATAAAAGTGTTTTTATATTTAATTTCATAAGCAGCTGTTTTCCTAAGAAAAAATATTAAATTATTTAGGAAAAGAATAATTTTGGAGAGAGTTTTCATATTTGTTTCTCCTTTTATGCTTTCGTTGATTTGTCTCTGGTCTAATGGCATATTCTTTATATGTGAGATGATGAAAGGAGATAGAAACCCCATAGGCATTATTAGTTGATTACCACAAATTTGAAAATGCCGCAATATTTCCACAATCATGTTCACTAGAGAAGAAAACTATAAGTTATAATTTTGTCGATTTGGCGAACATATCTATTTCGACAATATACCCACCTGGTGAAATGGGAATTGCCGATACTGATAGCTGGCAGTGAGCTGGCTCTGAGGCTAAGAGGATGAAAACCAGTTCACATTCGAAGTAGAGGGCATCTAAGAATGTTAAGATGAAAGTAGTGCGGTCCAGTTAACGTCTTCAAGTTGATATTCTCATGTTTTCTCTAAACATACAATCCTTCCTCGTCTTTATAGAACTCATCAAACTGTACTGCTTTATAACGTTATTTGGCATTGACTTCATATTAGCTAATGGACACAAAAGTAGGAAAAGCAAAACAGAAAGAAGAAAAGGAAAAGACATTTATACCTGATGTTGCTTTGATCTTCGACGTAAATGTTTACGAGAACCCCTTTAAAACTTCAGCAAAGTGAAATGGTCATGATTTGCTCACAAAATTCCAGGTAAAAAATTCAAATAGACTTGTAAGACTAATATAACGGATGCTATAACATATAATGACCCAAAATGTGTTGCTACGAGGACGTTCAACTCGCTTGTATTACACACTCGCTTTGAGGAGAATGTAACTAATTTTTATATGTAATTAGGACTGCCAGCTTGCTTATAAGCAAGTATAAAGGATTAAAATTAAAATTAAATAAAATAAGCAATCAACAAAAATTAAAACGAATTTGTAGGGAGTCATGACTAGCTTTTGCTACAACAAGAAACGTCTTAAATGAATTATTATTAATAAGTTGTTAGTGTTCTTGTATTTCACATCGTCTGTGCATGATTCAACAGAAAACGTATATTGCCTACGAAAGTATGAAATCATGAAATATTTGAAATCGTATTTTTGCCCATCATTCCTAAAACAGAAATGCATACACGCTATAACCATCACGAGTACATTCCATCTTGTTAAGGTGTACATGCATGTTTGTAATTGTGAGCGCATTTTTCAACAACTGCAATTGCGATGATTTATGTGATTTTTGATCTTCAGCTTGAGATATTAATAATAAAACATTCAAGATTAAATAAAAGGATTTTATTAAAATATTAAAAGAATTCATTTGTAGCTTTTTTTTTATTTCGCGCTTATATTTACGAAGCGATTCTACTGTTTCTGTTTTATATATAGATGCAATATATATATTATTTTATATAGTATACAATATTTCATATCATTTCATTAATTCGATACTTAGCTACAATTTACTTAACAATAGCTATTGTAGACTAGACTATTATAGTATATACTTATGTATATATATAACAAATTATATACTTATGTATACTTACGAATAGACTATAATGCCAGTTATCAAGTACTACAAACACTATGAATATGTAAGAATATAAACCTAACTTAGCTTACGATAAAGAAAATAAAGAAAGTATTATAGAGAACATTGAAACAAATTCTAACATTAAGAAGCTTGACATAACGTGCAATAATTCACTTAATAATAAAAAATTACTACATAGTTGACCATTGACGAAAATGCTAGGCATGGCGACATTAACGAAGACTATGTAAAAAGGAAGGCTGGATTTTAAACGACATATCCGATAAAGAGAATAAGTGGTATGTATCATTTATTCATGGGGCTAGCAAGCTCGCGATGATATCTACATAAATAAAACTTAACCAGAAGATATTACCTAAAGATCCTTCAAGCAACATTCAAGTTAATGTCAGTCAAAAGCTTTAGGGATTCAATTTCGCCATTCAGTAATTTGGTCGCAATAGTTACGTTTCAGATGCACCCATGTTGCAAATAGTCTACGCCCGAATTGCGATTCGGATCTCAGCCAAGTGCTCGCAAGGCGTATAACACGAACTGTTCTTAGAACGGGCAACATGCTCTTCGCTTATTCTCATTACGTGGCTTAAAGCTCAACCAGCAACCAAAGATGGCACCATGATCTCGAAAAAGATGATACATTATTCAAGCGGTGCTGATGAATGCTGGCTCGTGTGTGTAGAGAGGTCTCCACACTCAAAGTCTTTTTTCGATTTATTCCGTTCAAGCAACATAAAGTTCACATACTAAGTACATTTAAGCTAGATTGCCGGGCGGAGGTACGTTCAAACATGTTAAACAGTGAAAATAAGTTGATGTCATCAGCCTGCGTGAGACCGCTTGAATGTTATATGATTGATGCTGAGTCATTAAGTTGTATAGTAAAAAGGAAAAATCAAAATAGCTCGCTTGAGTAGCTTCCAGACTTGGATGAAACAATTTAAAGTCTTTGCCTTAAATGCGAAGGGAGCCAATTGAGGAAAAAACGACGGGTGGTCGGTCAAATAATTTTTTGCAATTAGCAGATAATATTAAGTTAAATTAAATTAAATTATTCTTTATCTTTTTTTAGGCCGGCTGTCTTAAGGTGAGTCGGAAATGCTTAACATTATTCTACACATACGCTGAATAAGCTCATTGGTTATACTCGCTTTTAAATTTCTGAATCTCATCATCTCAAACGAAGGCGTGGAAATCGCAACACACTTTTTTTTTAGTGTACCGGCGAAAACGCAGCCCATGGGGTTCGTTCTTTTTTCAGCTCACGTTTCATGCAAAATATATGTAATGATTTGTAAGACTTCTCTCAATTTAACTAAATACATTGTCAGTATTAGCTGAAGAATGCAAGCTAATAATACATACGTGCCATAGCTTATCATACCTACTCCGCTTTTGCAAGCGTTAAAGCACCCGTAACAGACAGAGAGATATAGAATATCAGGCGAGCAGTTAGGGATATAGAGAAATGGGCGGACGAAACCATGAATATGTCATTAGATCGACGAAGAGGACTTTCTATTGCGTAACATCGGGCACACAAGCGCATTGCAGAGCTCCATATTAGATAGTAAATATAAAGAAATAAAAAGAAAAAAAACCATTAGAAATTAAAATTCTCGGTGTGAACATAACGCTCTGATGCTTGTATAACGTTCGTCAGCGATTATTGACAAGCGCATATTGAAATGTACAATGCGATTCTTAAGGTTCGTTTCTCCTTTCATCTTCCGCAAGTGTTTTTATGGTAAATTTCTCCCATTAGTTAACGACTAATGCGACTGTGGTATCTTAATTTTTGTTCTTTTTTCTTTTACATTGCAGAGAAAATCCACAAGAGGTAAATAAAAAGTGGGAGAAAGGACGTTGGAACGACTGAAAATATAAATTTCTTAGTGTGGGTTCTTTTTCTCCTATAACTTTTGATGTTACAAACGGAAAGACAAAATTCCTATGGGCACATTTCACGATGGTAGCTGTACCAAGCGTAGCAACAAACAGCAACCACAGTTAATAACTTTTATTTTCTATATGGCCTCCACATACGGCCAGGCCACAAAGACGTTCAGTTAATATGACCACTTAATTATCGCTGGGGCGTATTAAATACACGTACCCAGTGCACCGGCAAACATACACATATTGTCGAACACATAAGCAATCGTTTAAATAAAATCAAAGAAAAAAAAAAGAAGAAAGAAGCAAAGCAGAAAAAGAAAAAGAAAAATTAAAAACGAAAAGCGAAAAGCCAAAAGTGTATTAAAAAAAATGAGAAATTTTCCTATGGAGAAAAATGTAAATTAAAAAAAAAAAAATGTTACAACAGTAAAAAAAAGTAAATGCTTGAGAGTGAAGAAAAAGTTCTGAAAATCCTTGCAAGGTTTTTACAGAGGTTTCCATTTTTTCTGCTTTGCATAAAATCACATTTACTTACATACTTATATATATATATATATATATATATATATACACTTATATCTATACGGACGTGTGCACATATGCTTAAGCCCAAGTTGGAGTTTTTACTAACACACCACTACTAGTTTAAAATGAATGTCCTCTCTTAAGCAAAAACACAAACACACAAAAGCCAACACGTCAGCTGACTTTGGCCTTAAGTATGTAAAGCCGGCAAACACATACTTTAACACTAGGAAAGCCACCCCCACTCTTTCTCACACCCTTGACAGAATTCCCACAGTTGTACTCTATACTTAAATATATGCAAACGGAAGTGGTACTTAGCTAATGTTTTTAACTTACATTTGAGTATCGTTGGGGTTTTTTTTTTTGTTTTTTTTTGCTATTATTGTTGTTGTGTTTGTTAGTACTTTTTCTTTTTCTTTTTAACGTGTTCGTGTTAATGTTATAAAAATAACATATAAAACATTAAATAAAAACCGGGATACAAAAACAAGTGCGCTTTTGATGTATA